GGGGTGTCAAACTCATTTTGGTCTGGGGGCCGTATCCAACCGACTTTTATCCCAAAGGGGCTGGATCAGAAAACTCATGGCATATATACTCCAAAAATAACAATAAGTTCAAATATTTGTGCAGAGAAACGCAAATCTATTACAGATTTTTTTTTAAATTGATGAACTCTTTCTTTTACAAAATATTATAAGATTATGAACAACCTAAAAGTTTATGAAAAATACAATTTCAACACAATGTCTTAACATTAACTTGTTTAACATTAACTTGTATAAATAGGAATAAGTCAGTTTTTGTTGTAAAATCCTGCACTCGGCTCCACTTTTCTCATGTTGGACATTTTTCTGATGAGGGTGTCATGGTCAACAGTCAAAACCATCGTCCTTTAAGAGCGTTTGGAAAGAGACAAGTCTTCATTTGTGCTGCTCTGGTGGGAGGGGCCACGTACAGAGGCTCTGCTCTGGTGGGAGGGGCCACGTACAGAGACGCTGCTGTGATAAACACCACAGAAAATTAACAAGATTTTAATAAAAAATAAAATTTAAATATTTTAGTAGAAAATCAGCAGAGGGCCAGATTAAAGGTCTTGGAGGGCCGGATCTGGCCCCCGGGCCTTATGTTTGACACTTGTGGTCTAGATCTAGGCGTACGTCCCCCACCTGCCCCCTGATGCATTTCAGTCAGTTAATTGTTCTGTTAACTAGAGATGTGCAAAAATATCTAAATTTCGATATATCGTGATAATAAATTTTGTGATACAGTATTGTTAGTTTTATAATTCTGTTGCTTATTTAGTGGAAGGAAACCGTTTTGTGCGATACTCTTGACATATTCACTATTTAGATCATTAAAATAGGTGGATTTTGTATTAACGTTGGTTTAACACAGAAATATTGTTGCTAAAATGTGTTTGGTTCTGAAAACAAAAAACAAAAAAAAAAGAATATCTTATGTCTTTTATCAATTATCGCATATCTTGTTAAATCATGACACCGGGAGCTGTTTATTGGATCGATTAGTGTGAATGAAATGTTTTTTATTGTCAGTAGAAGCTCGTGTGGGTCTGGGACTGGACTCTGAGCGGAGCCTGGCTCTGGACCATAAACCAGCCGTTAGGCGTTAAACTCCAGAAAGCAGGTGATCCCAAAATTGCAAGTTTGAAAGTTTTAATGTCATATTTGCCACGTTTACATGAGAGCTTTAATTCTGAATAAACATTAATCCTGCTTAAAACGTTTATTCTTCTTAAAAATTATGCGGGTGGTTCGGCGCATGCTCGTCCTGTCGTCCTTCTGACGCGTCGATCTGGACGAACCGGCTCCACCAGTCGTGTCTCGGGACTTTGATCCACGTCTCTTTGGATTTGTGAGCGGGATGCGGGAGTGGGCTGAGCTTTTGTCTTCTTCCTCCTCCTCCGACACTCTTCCCTTCTCCTCCTCAGCTCACAGACGTAAAGCGTGAGGAGACAATTCTCCAGCTGCTGCACAACAATTATCATCAGAACCACTGCGGGAAAAGTCTGGATGGTGTTTGTGTCCGTGGAGGAACGACAAACCCAGATGACAGAAAAGGCGGGAGCAGCTGAAGTGTGTGTTTTCTTCACAAAAGATGTAAATCCGTTGGTGTCTCTGTCCAATCAGAACCCCCCCCCCCAGACGCTGAACGGAATTAAATAAACAAGGAAGCAAGGGTCATGGAAATCCTGGAAAAGTCGTGGAATTTTAGTATCTCTTTCATGCTGCTCCATCGTTAGGTTAAGTTCTAACTGGACTATTCTGATTATTTCCAAATGTTTGTGCCTTTTGTTTAAAAAAGACAATAAATGCACTGACAGGATTTAGAATGTTCAAAAACTATAATCCCAAACCATAAAGTGAATGGAAAGTAACATGTTTCAGATTTAGCCCTGAAAGTCTGATCAGTTCTACACATGTACGTGCTGTAAAGTCATGGAAAATTAACTTTAGCTCATGAAAATAATCATGGAAAAGTCTTGAAATTTTGTTAGTGAAAAAGAACGGGAACCCTGAATAAAGAAGATTTAACGTGTTTTCCAGTTCAGAATTATTATTTCCATGTAAAACTGAAGGAGAATATTTTAATCTTGAACTATTTAATTCAGAGCAATTAATTTGGAATTAAAAAAACATCATGTAAACGTGGCCACTGTCGAACATTCTACACAGAAAATAGAAAAGTTAAAACTAACTCGCTGCAGTCACTGTTTCAATTATGTATTAACCAAAATGTTCCTCTTTCAGATCTGTTGGACACTGCTCAAACGTAAGTTTCTTTTTAATTAATTTAAAAACTGAAACATTGTGAATTGTGAAAAACATCTTAAATGAAAAAGTATTGATTAGTTTGTTCCTGCAGTGGAATGCTAAATTCTACTTGTGTTTTAGACGCAGCCCGTGGACGCATCAGCAGGAGACACTGAACCTCTCCAGTGACTTTGTTCAATCTGAAGTGTATTTTAGTATTTTAATAAAAGATTTTTCCTTAAATGTAGCTACAAGCTGCATTCTGAACTTTTGTCATTGTTTGCTCAAAATGTTTAATTTTTTTTTCTCCATCTTTGATCCTCTCCTCTTCATCCTCTGACCTGCTGCTCTTCATCCTCTTCATCCTCTGGGTGAGTCCATATGAAATCAGCCGCCCTCCCCTATGAGCCATCTCAGATTTGGCTGAAAAATGTCTAAAATTACCAAATGAAAGAATCTCAAATTCAAAACAAAACAATAAAAAAAAATTCAAAATAAAACTCAGTCCCTTGAGTCGTTCCTGAGTTTTGTCCCTTTGAAATTTTGGGGCCATGTTCACTTTTCTGAAGCCTTAATTTATAAACATGTTTGAGACCAGAACTTCATCAAAATCGAGCGAGGAAGATGAAAATGTGTTTTATTGTAGATTCTTGGTCATAGATTCTGAATCTGTGTGAAATATTGTGTCTCTTTTATTAAAGGGTGCGCTGTGGGCCCCAAAATATCACATTTGGTTGCCACTCAATTGTTTTTTGGTTGTTTTTTCAATTTTTGAGGTCCAAGATGTATTTCCTTCAAGCAGATCTTTACAAACTAATTGAACTTGAATATTTGACAGAATGAACATTTCTGACACAAATCTCACACTGTTGTGAGTTTTCCTGTGGACGGTTGAGAGTTTCAGTCCTGGTTTGATCTTTTTAGTCTCTTCTTTGGACCTCGGTTCCTCGTGTTGCACAGTTAGATGATCACATTTTTATCAGAGAAACTTTGGCAGATTCTGATGAGTTTAAAGTAATAAAAACATCAACTATTAACTTCCTTCATTTCAAATGGAATTTTTGAAAATGAGTCTCACGGTTCAATTTTGGTGAAGCTCAGGGACTTTTCCACCTGCAGAAACGAATCTGGCTAATAAATGTGATATTTTGGGGCCCACAGCGCCCCCTTTAATAAAGACACAGAATATTTGACAAGAGATTCAGAATCTATGACCAAGAATCTACAATAAAACAAATTCAGCGCCCTAGCTCTATTTTTATGAAGTTTTGGTCTCTCAAACATGATTATAAATTAAGGCTTCAGAAAAGTGAGCAAGGCGCCAAAATTTCAATGGGCCAAAACTCAGGAACGACTCAGTTGATTGAGCTAAAATTTGAAATTCTTTCATTTGGTGATTTTAGAAATTTTTAGAATTTTTTTCAGCCAAATCTGAGATGGGTCATAGAGGAGAGATTCCTTGAAAATGGCTGATTTCATATGGACTGACCCCCTCCGCTCCATCTGACCCTCTCCTCTTCATCCTCTTCATCCTGTGCTCCTCTAATTGCACTTTTCTCTTTCATTATGGCTCTGTTGTAAATATTCTTGTGTCGGTGCTTGTGTGTGCTTCCTGTGTGGTTCACGCTGCCTCTGGACTCCTGGTGAGAAGAAAGAAGACCTGGGTTCATCTCTTTGTTTTAGTTTTTGTGTTGCTTGTTCATTGATTTTGTGACATACATTGTAATAATAAGATCTGAATTTTGACTTTTCATTTGAACATTCCTTAAGTTGGCCAGGTATTCATTTTTCTATTTTTCTCAAAGGGACCCCACAGTAAAATGTCTCTTTAGAAACGTTGTTTTATGTCTTTATTTAGGGCATTTTTAGAGACTTTGTGGTAAAAGAATTCATGCAGTGGAAAACGTGTACATGTGTAGAATTGTGTAAATTTAAAGGGCCCATATTACACCATTTTCTTATCCATGTTTTATGATTTTAATCACAAACACAGTTGGAGTTGTGTCGTTTCATTCATTTTTAACACACAAATCCTGTGTAGTTTTTCTCTCAAACTGAAAACACTCTATTCCACCTTGTGATGTCATGTTTAAACTGCGTACACGTTCACTAGAATCATTGGAAGAATTTCAGCCCTGGAATTGCCAATCTCTACAAAACAAATATAAAAAGGTGTTATCTTTTTATTTTCTGCTTCAAGACGGACACAGTGAAATGAAGCATTTTGGATGAATCAAACATGTGAATGAAACAAAACACAACTCCAGGTATTATAACATGGCTTAAAATTCAAAAGTGTCAAATTTGCTTAATATATGGCCTAAGGAATTTGTAATTTTGTGGATTAATTTGTTTTCTTGGGTCCCCTCATTTTTGTTTTACAGGCTTTACTATACAAATACATATGCTTTAAAATGAAATCTATTTACATTATGGATCTTCTAAGAAACAAACCAGGACACGTGTTGTTTTTTTATACATTTGGTTATTCAGCAGTTTACATTTTTTGCAATCTTCCTTAAATTTCCCAAGACATCACATGTGTTTTAAAATGTTTGCTGTTTTTACCAGGTGAGATATTTGAAGTAGGACTTAATAGGACTGTTGTTTTGGTAAATATGAGTCTTGTTTGGTTTGCTGGAGGAGAAACTGAAATGTGTGTCACTGTTCTGTAAGCACATCGTCCATTGTACTTGTGTGTATTTAAATCTGTGTCAACCCTCTGACGCCCTCAGCCTGGGGCCAGCCCTGCTGCGATGGGCAGCTCTCGGCCCGTTGACCCTGAGGCTTCACCTACCGCACGCTGGAAATCAAACTCCATGACCCCTGGAGCCGACAGGTACGGCCCTGTCAGAGATACTGCTAAGTGTGATTGTGCAGGTCAGAGAGGCGATGGAGAATGGCAGCCACGTCTGTGGTCGCGCCACTGGGCAGCTGACTATCATCATAGTTTCTCTGAAATACTTTGTGAATTTATACAAATGGATATTGACATTTAGAATTTCAAAGTCTGTGAGGGAAAAATGGAAGGTGATTGTTGACAAACTTCGAGAGTCTACAAATTGTCAGTTTCAGTAATTTTTTTTTTTTTTTTTTTTTTTTTCAGTGACAAAGCCGGGGAGGAGTTCCTGCGCTGCCTCGCAGCCAACAAGCCTCTGCCCGATTACCTCAAAGGCAACATGGAGTACAACCTGGCAGAGGCCATCAAGTCCGCCAACGCTCTGAAAGACGCTGTAAAGTCTGACCCAGAAGTCCATAAACTGACCAATCAAAAGAGAAGCAGGAGCCGCAGCAGAGGGCGGAGCCGCGGCAGGAGCAGAGCCAAAAGTCGAGCGCGAAGTAAAACACGGAGCCGGAGCCGAAGTAGAGATAAACGAAGCCATAGCAGAGGCCGAGCAAAGAGCCGCCCGAGGAGCAAGAGCCGCCCGAGGAGCAAGAGCCGCCCGAGGAGCAAGAGCCGCCCGAGGAGCAGGAGCCGCCCGAGGAGCCGGAGCCGGAGCTGGAGCTCCAGCCGCAGCAAAAAGAAAAGTCGTGCCAAAAGTTGCTCCAGAAAGTCCAGATCTCACAGCAGCGAAAGGAGACATCACAAAGACAAGAAGAAGCACAAGTCCTCACACAGGAGCAGCGGAGGAGGAGTCACAGTGAAGGTGGAGAAGGGCCTAAATGGAACGGAGCGCGGAGCCGAGCACGGAGCCGAGCACGGAGTGGTGTCCGCTGAGAACAGTCTGCTGGAGGGACTCAAGATGGTGATCAACAGTAAAGAGCTGGAACACAAGATGCTCAAAGACACTGTCCTTCCTGCACAGGTTAGGGATTTCTTTTTATGAGGCCGTAAATAGGAATGTTGTGATGATATAATCCCAAATCCCATGGTACAATATTGTGGAAAGACTAGAGAGTTTAAACTAGGGCTGGAAGGTTCATTGTAACTGAATCTAAATCTTAATTTAAATGGTTCCAATTGGCAAATCAGAAATACTGCCATTTTTGTAGTACCATAAGTTCCTCTACAAACAGACTATTATTCTGCATAAAAACTGCTAACTCATCTCAGACTTCCTGTTTGAAGCACTTAATTTCAGCTGTACCTTTTATGGTCATGATTTTTATCTTGATTTGACTTGACAACCATAAAAGTCTATGCCTCAATACATAACCTCAAGATTAAAGCGTCTAATTGAGTCTCGTCCACAATCCCTAAACCACACTGTTTATATTCAGACATGTTTATTAAAGATGGTGGAGGGCCTCGTGTCCATGGAGGTTTTTGTTGCTGTGCATGGAAGGTTAGGTTACACAGTATGGCTTTAACCTTACTATAGTGACACCTGTACTTCATCTGATTTGTTATGTTGTGTTCTCATCACAAACAGACCTGCAGTTGTGTTTTGTTTGTCACACACTTAACACACATCCTTCGCACTTAGGCTTAATTCTTCTTTAAAACAGTACACACTCTGTTCCACCTTGTGATGTCACGTGATAATACAGGAAGTTCTCCATTCTGTTATTAAACTCCACACACCTTCACTAGAACCCGTTTGGATAATTTGAGCCTTGGAATTGTCAGTCTCTACTAAACAAGGTAAAAGGTAGCTACTGTAAAATGCCAAATAACGACCGGGTTTCAATTAACCAACGAGTCCTCGGCTGCGTTCAGACTGCAGCCTGAAGTGACCCAAATCCGATTTTTTGGCTTCTATGTGACCTGTATCCGATCTTTTAATGACAGTCTGAACGGCACAGATCCGAATTTTTCAAATGCGACCCAGGCCACTTAGATATGTGGTCCTGAATCCGATACATATCCGATCTTTTGACATGTGACTTCAGTCTGAACGGCCAAAGCGCATCCATCCGACCTACACGTCATTAACAAGCGATAAACGTCACTATTCTGCGCTGAAGCAGGCAGAAACCGGAACTGTAAAATCTCCAGGTGCTCGATGCTCGCGACCATATTTGGACAACTTCCGTAAACACAGAGCACGCTCGCTGCGGTTGACGCATGAGGTTGACGTCATCGTGTCCTCCAGTGCACATGTGGGACACTTTCGGGCCGTTTACATTCACACTGAAGTCACAGACAAGTCGCATTTAATTGGAAATGTGAACGACCTCACAAAAACATCAGATTTCACAAAAAAATCGGAATTGAGCATTAAACCCTGCTGTCTGAACGTAGCCCTCTTTAAACACGGGTGCAGGTGTATGTTTTAATAAATAACTGCTGAAGTCTAATGCGGTCTAGTCCAGCGGTCGAGTCTAATGCAGTCTAGTCAGTGCAGTGGCGTAAAAAAAAGAAAGATAGCGCAACACAGCGGGCAGGAAATGGAAGCAGTTTTTAGGAGTTTTGGTAAAATGACTTCAGTTTGGCGATTGGGGGGAAGCAGTGATGTGATCGTAGCTGCTGCAGCGTAAGAGGAACGTTGTGGCAAAGGGGCGAGAAAAGGCACAGGACGAGGTGGCAGGAATCATGTCTACAAGGTCGGTAAAGTAGTCTCCAACCCCATCAAAAAACAACTGCGCCACAATCCAGAGTGCCTGACACACAAATCCACTCGGGTGTCCCAGCACGACTTCAGTAAACTACAAAGCCACGCCACCCGCAGAGCACACAAACACACACGGAGCAAACAGCAACCGCACAACCACAAACGCACACAGAACACACAAACACACACGGAGCAGACAGCGACCGCACAACCAAACACACACGCAGACACACTCTTCACTCCACGCCGACGAGGAACGGAGGAACGAACCGAAAAGCGAGTGCAACGTGCCACTTCTAGACACGACTGAACAACTGAGTCACTGCAAACACGCCGACAATCCGTTGGTCCCAGACAGCACCCTCCCTACACGCCACAACTGAACAAAGCCCAGAGTCACCGTGAATGAACAAACAAAACCACTCACCCATCACACTGTTGGGTTTCCTTTAAAGTCCCACACGGTTTATTTGTGAAAAAAGTTTGAAAATAGACCATTTAAGGACAGAGCACCGCATAAGCCAGAGCGACTAATAGTGCAGAAAATACAGTAAAACATATTGGTTAGAAGAGTTGAGGACCATACTTTCACGTTTTGTTGAGCAAGATTTTTGTGAAGAAGGACTTAATCTCCAATAGTCGAACCTCGGATCCAGGAGGAGCAGTGTGGTTTTGGTCCCGGCCGTGGAACACTGGACCAGCTCTACACTCTCCATCAGGTGCTCGAGGATTCATGGGAGTTTGCCCAACCGGTCCACATGTGCTTTGTGGATCTGGAGAAGGGGTTTGACCGTGTCCCTCGTGGTGTCCTGTGGGGGGTTCTCTGGGAGTATGGGGTCTGGGGCCCTTTGCGAAGGGCTGTCCGGTCCCTGTATGACCGGAGCAGGAGCTGTGTTCTCATTGCCGGCAGTAAGTCAGACCTGTTCCCGGTGCATGTTGGACTCTACCAGGGCTGCACCTGTCACCGGTTCTGTTCATCGTATTTATGGACAGAATTTCTAGTCGCAGTCAGGGGCCGGAGGGGGTCCGGTTTGGGGACCACAGGATTTCATCTCTGCTGTTTGCAGACGATGTTGTCCTGTTGGCTTCATCAGGCCAGGACCTGCAAAGTTCATTGGGGCAGTTTGCAGCCGAGTGTGAAACGGCTGGGATGAAGATCAGCTCTTCTAAGTCTGAGGCCATGGTTCTCAACCGGAAAAAGGTGGCTTGCCCTCTCCGGGAGGGTGGGGAGTCTTTGCCTCAAGTGGAGGAGTTCAAGTATCTCGGGGTCTTGTTCACGAGTGAGGGGAGGACGGAACGTGAGATTGACAGGTGGATCGGTGCAGCTTCGGCAGTGATGCGGTCGCTGTATCGGACCGTTGTGGTAAAGAGGAGCTGAGTCAAAAGGCGATCTAATAATATCCTGCTCCAAATTGCTGCCTGGTCTCAAATAAATGCCTGGTCTGTTAAGTGACTGAAACAAATAAACGCCCCGGCTATTATTTGCTATTTTATGGTAACTGGAAGCCGCACTTCATGACATCACAAGGTGGAATAGAGCATTTTAAGATTTGGAGAGGTAGACGGCCTAATAATGTAAGATTAAATGTATGAATGAAACAAAACTCAACTCCCGTTATGTTTTTGAGGAATTAACAGCATTATAATCCACTTAAACTCACAAGAGTCAATTTTGTGTAATATAGGACCTTTTAATGAGTAGTTTTTAGTTGTAATTTTACATCCAGACCCAGTTTTTGCACTTTGCTGAATTCCATTTTGTATTTCCCCTTGCAGCCAGTGGCCCCTCTGAAATCAGCTCTTAAATCTGCCCCTGCCCCCGCCCCCGGGCACCTCCCCCTCCTCCTGGGACAGCCCTTTGCCCATGGGCCTGCCCCGGAGCCTTCCATCTTCTCCATGTTTTCGGACAATGATTCGCTGTTGCCTCACGAACGCAGCGGCTCAGACTTCTCCTGGATTCAAACTCAGTCTCAGGTAAACTTCCAATAAGTAGGGCTGTGATGATAAATGAAATAAATTGGACTAGACGATTTAAAGGTGCAAAGGAGCTTTTCTGGTTTAGGGTCCGTCATTTGCTAGTTGTATTGGAGGTGTTATTGCTTTGCCTGAAATGCTCCATGGTTTGACTTTAAACACATCTAAACATTTATTTGTTACGGGGGTTTGCATTGCTCATAAATACAATAATTCTCTTTGTGAATAGGGTTGTATTTCCACAGATCTGACCTGTAATGTAACTACAGTTGTCTCCTTTTGAGATGTTTTTTTATTTATTATTTATGTATGCCTTTATGTATTGGGTTAATCTCTACTGTGGAACATTCTGGATAAATGAAGACAAGCAGGTGACGGATCCTCCACCAGAAAAGCAGTTCAATAGGGTTAGGCTTCATTAAAAAGTTGCAGATACGATACATACCTCGATACAGTGAGTGTTTGATTCGATACGATATATTTCATATTGATTCAATTTAATTTCAATTTTTCGGCTCAATAAAAAATAAAGACTAAATTATGGCTGTGATACTAAGGGCCTGTTTACACGAGAACGCTTGCGGGTAAAAAAAATATAAATTTTATGGGAAGTGTCTTTTGTTTAGACAGTGACGGCGGTTTTGGGGCTAAAAACACAAAAATCTGAAACCAGTCTCCAGAGTGGAGGCTGGTTTCAAGCCAAAAGTTGAATAGACTCCACCGTAGTGTTTCTCTGGTCAGATGTGCTCAGGTCGTGTTCGTGTTTACGTCACATACATCACCACTGAGCCGACTGGCATGCATACCCAATCGAATTCCTCACACTTTTGCATCACCGTATGTGCGCAGATTTCCTCCCAAAAACGCTTGTATAAACGTGGAATAAGAAGTGAAGACACAACGACACTTTTGCATCTTCTGTTCAGACAGTCATCATATAAATATAGCCTAAAATTCTTTGTTAAACCACTTTTTGTGCCAAAAAACACCAACATTTTAATCATCAGTGAAAATATCAAATTTGTCGCATAAACGAGTTTCCTTCCTCTGAACAAGCAGCAAAACTGTAGCACTGTAACAAAATACTTTATTCACGTTACATCACAAACTAGGAAGACGTTTGGAAACATGCGATGAAAACTTCCCGTGTAGTTCCCGACGCTGGGCTCACCGACCGACTGTGATCAAACCCACTGAAGTAAATGTGATCAGTGGTAAAATGAAGACTGCAGACGTATGTGCTGTTTGGAATCATCTTTCCCGTTTCTGTGACTTAAAATGAGATGCCGGACTGAACCAGGACTGAACCAGGACTAAACCAGAACTGCGCATCAATGGTGTGCCCGTGTAGACTGTCAGGACTGAGACCGGCTCAGTCCTGGTTCAGTCCTGGTTCAGTCCGTATGCGGCACATAAGTTGGGCGTTGCAGTTTAAGTTTCGGAAACATTAGCCGTTTTTTTCCATTATTCATTTAAACACAGAATCGAAAACTGTTATCTGTTTTTTTCGTTTTGGTTTTGGAGACAAATAATGAGGAAAATAGTTGTTTTTTCATTTTCTTATTTTTGGATTTATTTCTAAAAACTAACGATTGACACACCGATTATCTCAGTATACAATAAAACTGTTTAATTGCTGCCCTTTCAATAAGACACATGTTTTTATACTCATTATCATGGTTATTTGTTAAATATTTACGGTCTTGTCTCTTAGGGGGATCTGCTGACACTAAAAGCCAACGAAATCGAAGATGAGGAATCGTTTTTGTACGGAAATGACGAATTGTCCAACTCCGTCTCTAACGTCACTAACTCTGCTAACGCCCCTCAGTACCCCACCCCCTCATCCTCCCAGCCCTACCCGAGTCTCAACACCGCAGAGGTCAATAAGATTAAGAATATTCTGAAACACGTAGGGTCAAACAACGAGGAGGCCAAAGTAAAACACACAGCGCCCCCTGCTGTGAGTGAACCTGCGGCATACGCACTTCCAGCACTGAACAATCCCAACGTGCGGCAGGCTCTGGAGTCCCTGCAATCACTCATCAAAGGTAACACTTCATTGTAGTTTCAGTTTAAAACCACATCTTCACGTCATTTACCGAAACAAATGCTGTAGTGAACAAATTTAAGTGTGAGATGGGCATGAAGAAAGACATCAGCAAATTGCCAAGAGTTGATCCCACATAGAGACCGACCCAAGCCCAGCAAATGTCTTGTTAAAATTTTGGTTCATGTCAAAGTTAAAATTTGTATTCCCACTAAGAAGAGTTTCATTTGAGTTCAGGAAGTCATTTCAGAACATGTTTGTTTAAATTTGGCAATATTGTGCATCATCTCAAACTAAAATGCACACTGAAAAAAGTGTGACGGCACGGTTCATTAAAATACCATTCAGTGTCAGTTGACTCACTTACCTCGTCATTTTGGTCTAAAAATGTTCCCATTAACCCGCTTTATTTCACTATTTTGTCCCAAAATCAAGATCTGAACTTTAATAACAGACCAATCAGGTGCCTTCTTTCCCTGAGGTCACTCCCACTTAGAGTTAGCAACAGGTTTGATTGACTGCGTTGCTTAGCACCCGCTCCCTTCAGCAGGCTCTCTCCTGATTGGCTCTTTGGTTGCTATGATACTCTAATAATTCTAAATATGGAACTTGGCTCTAATTTCACTCCTTTAAAGAGATGTTTTGGGTTTTTTGACATGTATGTGTATGGCATCCCCGTCAGCAGTGTGGTGTCTCCACACTGACTTACCCCCAAAAACAATATGTGTTGAAAAGAGTGATACATTTGCATCACAAAACATTTGGCCTCAAAAAAGTCAGACCTCATAATCGCTTGGCACTATTTTCTCTCTGTTCGTATCACTGCGCGCTGCCACCAGCTGACAGCCGCGCCTGGTTCACCGTTTACTGCTCGGAATGTTAACGACAACATGTCTGATTACGACAGTGACGAAGAAGACCTTGTCTTTAGCACAGAGCCAAGGGGAGATCTTTATGAACCTGAATATACCGATGCCAAAATTCACCAGATGGAGTTAGAACAGACAGAGACAGAGAAGGGGTACAAGTTGAAGCTGGAGCCGTGAGAGACCGAGTGAGCGACAATCACGTCATTAATAAACTCGTCTACAGCAAACATAGAGTCTACACTGTGACTGAAGCATGGACGACTAATAGAAACATGAATCATCCACACGTCCACGTCGCTGCTGCCAACAGTGTAAGAGACATTTACAATAGTAATAACAGTCGACTTATAAAGTTCTGTTTTGTAGAAGTTTCACTGCTGATACGACACTGAGTGATTTGAGTGATTTGCTGCTGATTCTCGATCACTTGTCCTCTTGTAAACACAGCGGCACTTCTTTGTTCTTACCTGGGTGCAGATACAGCAGATTTCTTCCTCTGTCGTGGGTATGAAGCAGTGCTTCTCAAATAGTGGGGCGCGCCCCCCTGGGGGGGCGCGAGGCTCCGTCTAGGGGGGCGCGTTTGACCTCGGGGAACATGCTTTTTTATTTTTTTTATTTAGATTTTTTTTACTGTCTTAAGGGCCGTTCATACCAAAGCGTCAAAAAACGCCTTGACGCCTCCATTTGGAGCCTTTGCATTTGAGTTCAGACGCCCCCGACGCGCATCTTTGACGCCGTGGACGAACGGGACAAAAATACTTGACGCGCGTCCGTTGCCCTGGAAACAAGAGCCCGGTCCCGGTCTTTTCCCGAAACAATGTCAGACCAGACTGAGAGAGCGTTTTTATGACATAAAACATCAAAGGAGGAGATCGGGTCGACGACTGGACCGTATATATATTTATACTCCGCTAATGACACTGGATCAGTCCCGGTCTAGTCCCGGTCTGGTCCCGGTCTGGTCCCGGTCTGGTCCCGGTCTAGTCCGGTCTAGTCCCGGTCTAGTCCTGGTCTAATCACGGTCTAGTCCCGGTCTAGTCGTGGTCTAATCACGGTCTAGTCCCGGTCTGGTCCCGGTCTGGTCCCGGTCTGGTCCCGGTCTAGTCCCGGTCTAGTCCTGGTCTAATCACGGTCTAGTCCCGGTCTAGTCCTTGTTTAGTCTCGGTCTATTCTCGGTCTAGTCCTGGTCTAATTACGGTCTAGTCCCGGTCTAGTCCTTGTTTAGTCCCGGTCTAGTCCTGGTTTGGTCCTGGTCCGGTCCTGGTGTAGTCCTCGTGATTGTGGTGTATATATTTATTCTCCGTTCATGTTTGTGGTTCTCGTTCTGGTTCTCGGGTCTTTCTTCCTGATAATAACGTCGCTGCGTCTCTGGATACTCGTCCCTGATTGGTTGACGCGGCGCGTCTGACGCGAAAAGTTCAGCATTTTCAACTTCTTGACGCTGACGCCTTGGACGCGCGTCTTGGCCGCTGACGCCAAAACGCTGAAGACGAGCCGAGCTGACGCCAGATTCGCGCCGCGCTGACGCCGAAGACGCGCCGCAAAAACGCAGGACGCTCTAGTCGCGCGTCCACATAGACTTTACATAGAAAGTGGACGCTTTGACGCTTTGGTCTGAACGGGTCTTTAGAATAAAGTGCAATTGCACTTCCACTACATTAGGGGGCAGAGCGCTCTCATTGGCAGAGTGTGCGCAGGGAGCATTCGTTCGGTGGTGTAGGAGTTTTGTTTGCACTGAGCATGCGCGCTTTGCACACAGCACAGAGTTTGAGTATGAAGTGTAGACACGAAGTGTAGCAGACGCTCAAGTGACACCATGAAAAATATTTAACAGGGATGAGAAGAGAGACGGAGATAAAGAGACAAACGAAAATCTCCCGAAAGCTAAGACGAGGAAATATGACGAAGCGTATGTAGCGCTCGGCTTCACTGTGACTACGGTGGGAGACGAGGAAAGACCGGTGTGTTACTGTGTCTAAAAATGTTGGCAGCCGACAGCATGAAGCCCAATAAATTAAGGCGTCACTTAAATACATTACTCTCCAATCACTCTGATAAGCCGCGTGAGATTTTTCAGCGAAAACGTGCTGAATATTGCCGACAATCATCCCGCTTGTGACTGCTACTTCAGTAAACCAGCGAGCATTGTTGGCGTCATATAAGGTGGCAGTGTTACGCAGAGGTGTACTTAAAACAGTTTTATAGACAAATGATACTATCTATAGTCACGCGGGGGGGCGCGAGATGTTTTATTCGTCCTAGGGGGGGCATGACAGAAAATAATTGAGAAGCACTGGTATGAAGGAACATCATCTTCTTCGCTGAATTGTTCACTGCACACGAAGCTTTTTTATCTTTGGTTTCCACATTGAAGCTAAAGGCAAGAAGCCAAAGTTTCCTCAGGGCAAAGTCTGTGATGGATCTGTGCGCAGTGATACGAACGGAGAGAAAATAGGGCCAAGCGATTATGAGGTCTGACTTTTTTAGGACAAAGGTTTTGTGATGCAAATGTATCACTCTTTCAAATACATATTGTTTTGAGAAGAAAAACACTTTATTTTAATGTCCCCAGCCATCTTGCCGGACGACTTTTATCAGCACCGAAAACCGGCCAGTATCTCGGCTCACCGGACTCTGTCAGGGGTAAGTCAGTGTGGATGCACGACACTGCTGACGGGGATGCCATACAGATTCATGTCAAAAAACTCAAACTATCCCTTTAATCACCAGCATCAATGAGCTTCATTTGACTGGAGCCGCTGTGTAGTCGATGTTCAGTTCATTAAACACTTTATTTTACTGTAGTGTGAATTTCTCTCCAGGGTAACTTTGGTCTACTGCTGAGGTGAACCGTAGTCTAACATTTGTTCTAAAACTATTCAAATTCAAAACTAAATATTTTTCTTGTTACAGCGACAAAAGAGAAACGTGTTCAGGAAAAAGGGGACAGAGAGAGCAGTGTCTCATCTCAGTCTTCAGGGAGAAAGGTAAAAATATATCAAAATAATAAATGCAAGTCAGTTTAGATTAAAAAAAAAAAAGTCTAATCTTTATTTCAACCATTTTTAACTTGAATCTTCAGATGAGCGCAGAGAGCAAACAGGCTCGCAAAACCAAAATGGAGGTTCTCATGAAGGAGCTGGAGGGATTACTGAAACAAGACGGTAAGATTTTAATTTTGAGCAGAAAAAAGTTTGACATGAGAATGAGCTCTGTGCAAAACGGCAGCCGGCTCCTTCTGGGCTTTTCCGCTGTAATGTGATCTGAGGTTTATGCAAAATGGACATTTCAGAGCTTTTAACTCTTCATTGTGGCATGCTGTCGTGGATTCTTTTTGATGAAAATTAAGTAATATGGACAGGTCAAAACAGTGTTATTGATTTTATTTACAGAAGTGCACAAAATAGTGAAAAAATTTAAGAAAAAAAATATCTATTTACAGTCTGTAGTGGCCCTTAAATAGCTCTGGAACTGGTGCCTGTGGTGCACACAGCTCTTTCCCTTCACACACTGCCTCAGTGAAGATGAGATTCGGAGATCTGGTGTGGAATGACCCATTTTGGTACAAATGGGGGGAAAAAGTCTGCACCTCACGAGTGTAATGTGCAGTCATCCACAAGAGGGGCCCACAGGATCTAGCACTTTTTTGTGATGACGTTTACGGCCACCTCAGCTCCCGTTGGACAGTCCTTTTAGGTCAATATTGAGATCTAAAATGTCCAAAATATAACAATGATCCAGAGAGTCAGAGATTATAACTATAGAGACACACGAGCACAATATGTCTGATTTATAAATGTGGGAAAAACTTTCCCAGAGGTACAGAGGTACATCTTTGTGTGTCAATGCTTCGTCATGCTGATGTCATTAAAATAAAGATTTAAATGACATCACAGACTGAAATTATCTATACCTACAAATGACTCAAAATAAAAATGTAACCCATGTAAATTATCTTATAATTTAACAAATATTTTTTAGGTCTGGGATTTCTGACCCCAGTGATCGGCTTCTATTGTCATAAATGTGAAGAGTTCATTGGAGATTTGAGCACAGCGGAGAAGCACGGGGCCGCTCACCAGCCCAGTGCCGTAAGTACAACACTGCACTTATTTCAGTGACACTTAAAGAGGGCGTGAAGTCGGCGCTTTCCGTCTAGGTTTGAGTTTAAGGCCGTGCTCTGATGGGCCAATCCAGCTGTCAATCACACCCAACTGACAGAATTCAACCAAAGAAAGAATCCTCTTTGGTTCCGGAGGTTTAATTCACATTTTTACAGTTTTTGCAAAAAAATGTTTTACCTTTGTAAGCTTGATAAATGAATCCTTTAAGAGGGGATGAGCAGAAGACCCATAAGACTAAACATTCTTTAACACGGCACAATCTTACAGGGCTAATGACGATCTGGAAACTGTACACGCTGGAATGATTCAGGAAGAGTCAGGACTAGGCCTGTGACGATAACGGATATTGCTGGATGATTAATTGTCCAAGAATTTATTGCTGTAATCGATAACTATGAGTTAAGCCTCCAACCCTATCAAAAATGACTCCATGCCCCACAATCCAGTGTATGTCGCCAAAGTGGTTTTTAGATTTATTCAGCGTATTTCTGCCACCCACAGTGTCACGGTGACTCTGGGCTTTGTTCAGTTGTGGCGTGTAGGGAGTAGTGTCTGTCGCTGGATTGTCGGCGTGTTTGCAGTGACTCAGTTGTTCAGTCGTGTCTAGAAGTGGCACGTTGCACTCGCTTTTTCAGTTTGTTCCTCCGTTCCTCGTCGGTGTGGAGTGATGAGTGTGTCTGTGTGTGTTTTTGGTTGTGCGGTCGCTGTCTGCTCCGTGTGTGTTTGTGTGTTCTGTGTGTGTTTGTGTGTTCTGTGTGTGTTTGTAGTTTACTGAAGTCGTGCTGGGACACCTGAGTGGATTGGTGTATCGGGCGCTCTGGATTGTGGCGCACAGTCATTTTTTGATGGAGTTGGAGGCTTTTGAGGGCGCTCAATAGTGCAGAAAATACGGTACTTGGTATCTCTTCTTAGATACAAGTCCGTAGTAGTAGTAGTAGTAGTAGTAGTAGTAGTAGTAGTAGTAGTAGTAGTAGTAGCGTGCGCTGTACTGGTGCAGCAGCCGGTGAGCAGCTCTAATACATATTTGATAGAACCTCGTGGGCCAAATATAATTATATCGCAGGCCAAATTTTTTGAGTCTGACATGTCTGGTCTAAATGATCATGTTTTCCTACAGAAGCCTTCAGGGGACAAACATCCAGAAGACGGCAAAACGGACTCGAAAAAGGCCTCGAAGAAACTCAACCAGCGCGAGTGGAAAGTGAAGCAGAAATCATCCACAGACACGACGAAAGTGACGAAACCTACAAATGCTACCAACACCTACCTGAAGGAAAAACTCCAGGCAGAACGCATGCTCATAACGGTGTCATGTGGGGGCGAACCGACCAACGAGAGCGTCCACGGTAAACCGGAGCTGAGCGGGAAGAGGGCGAGGGACGAGCGCAGTACGAGGAGCGCGTCCCAGAGCAGCAGCAGTGACGGAGAGAGTGAAAAGAAACCGCACAAAAAGAAAAAGAAGAAGAGTAATAAAAAGAAGAAAAAGATTAAGAAATAGTTTTGAGCGTTTTTGACTGAAACGGTTTGGTTCAGTTTGGCGCAGTTTAAAGGAGCACTACATAACTTCTGTGGTGGAGCGTATGCCACCTGCTCGTCTCCATGGAGATGTTCCTTACTGCTTTGCCTGGAATGTTCCGTAATATTGCTTTTATTTAAAGGGCCCATGTTACTGTTTTTCTTAGTTTCCTCATCACAAACAGACCTGGAGTTGTTTTGTTTCATTCACACGTTTAACACACAAACCTTCTCTCAAACAGAAAAAACTCCACCTTGTGATGTCACGTGGTGATACAGGTTGTGCTGCACTGTGTTTTTAAACTCCACACACCTTCACTAGAATCATTTGGTAACTGCAGTGCTGAAATCATCCAGTCTCTGCTGAACTGAAGGGAAAAGGAGCTGTTCACTTGAAAACTACCACTTCATGACATCACAAGGTGGAACGGAGCATTTTGAGCTTTGAGATGTAGACAGACTAATAATAAAGAGTTAAACATGTGAATGAAACAAACACAACTCCAGCTCTGTTTGTGATGAGTAAACAACATTAGAACAGTCCGTTTTGTGGTTTTATTGCTCAAAAACCTGCATTCTTCCTGTGAGTGGAGTCGCCTTTCCGTTGATCAGACACGTAAATCGTCTTGATGGGGCCAAATGCTTGTGTCTTTGAATAGAATTTTCAAGGCAAGACATGATCTTCCCCAAGACAACAGAAAAAATGACACAGTGCACCTTTTATGTAAATGTGTCATCATCTGATTTGACGAGGACATTATGAAACCAAAATGGCAACAAAGAACAAGTGTTTTATCAGTAATGCACTTGGTTTGCAAATGTTTTTCTCAATTGCCACATTTACATGAGAGCTTTAATTCCAAATAAAAATAATTACGTTCTGAATAAATATTAATTCGACTTTAATAAGTCCATGTAAACCCTTAATTCCAAATGAAAATTATTATTTGGAATTAACTTAATTCCAAAGTAAGTGGGTGGTGTTTTCCAATTTTAAATGTGAGGGAGTTTGTTTGGTGGATCCTGTTTGTGGTTTGTTGTTGTTTAAATGCTGCTGGTGCTTCATGCTCGTCCTGTCGTCCTTCTGATGCGTCGATCCGGACGATCTGGCTCCACCAGTTCTGTCTTGGGACTTTGATCCACGTCTCTTTGGATTTGTGAGCGGGATGCGGGAGTGGGCTGAGCTTTTGTCTTCTTCCTCCTTCTCCGACGCTCTTCCCTCCTCCTCCTCAGCTCACAGACGGAAAGCGTGAGGAGACAATTCTCCAGCTGCTGCACAACAATTATCATCAGAACCACTGCGGGAAAAGTCTGGATGGTGTTTGTGTCCATGGAGGAACGACAAACCCAGACGACAGAAAAGGCGGGAGCAGCTGAAGTGTGTGTTTTCTTCACAAAGACATAAATCCGTTGGTGTCCCCCCCCCCCACAAAGGTTCAACAAGTTTCAATTCGGAATTATTTCCATGTGAACTCAAAGGAGAATATTTTAATTCCGAACTATTTAATTCAGAACAAATAATTTGGAATTTAAAAACATCATATAAACTTGGGCCAATACCATCTAGATGAAGAAAACTAAGCCATTTTCTAATTATTCCTAGATTTTGTCAGACTTACTGCCGGGAACAGAACCCGCCGGAAGTTGTCATCTCAGGTTTCCAAACATCTTCCCGCTTTGTGATGTAAACGTGAATAGAGCTACCGTTACCTTTAACCGACTCTAAACCGTAACCCGTTTCCGAACATTTCCTAAATCTTCGAATGACCAGAAAAAGCGCGTTCTTCCCAGAGTGTGTCTTCCCGGAGACGACCAGAAGGGGGCGCCACCTCAAAACTCCAACTCCACAAACCTGAGCTGAACTGAACCAAGCCATGTTTTGTTTTTACTTTTTGATTTTGACTGTAAAAATCTTACTTTCCATTAAAATGTTCGTATTTTTTGTACAAATGTTTTGGATCTCTTTAATGTTGTTAAAATTATGGAGGTTACACATAAAAATGTATTTACAAGACTTAAAATGACTTGACTTCACTAATTTTTGCTAAGTTTCATTCACTTTAAGGCGCTGTACCTGATTTTTACCCTTTTAACTTCTTAAAAATCTTGATAAACAGAATTATTAAACATTTTAAATGGTTTGCTCCAAAGTTATTCCCCACTTACCTTACTGTAACTACCATGCTGATGCGTACTTCCTGATTCTCACACAATATAACTGTTTAATTACAGACAGTACACAGTGGACTTTGACTTTTTAAGAACTGCTTTTATGAAATATCTCTACTGGGGAAGACAAATATTTTCCCTGAAATACATGGGGGAAAAAAATCAGGTTCACGTCTTTTGAATTTCTGGCAAATTAATATTATGAATTCCAGTAATTTTAAGTCCCATAATTCTATTTTTTGCTCTGTTTAATTCTTAAATTGATGCCAGTATTCCCAAGTAATACCAGACTTTTTGGAAGTGTTTTTTCTGCTCCTAAATGCTTTTAATGTCGTTTGTTACTTGTGACTGACTGCTCTCTCATCCAGTCAGATCTTTCCATATTCTTGCAGCTCCTGTTTTTATTTTATTTTATTTTTTTAAATTTTACTTTTATTTTTTTATTTAATTTTTTGTCCAAATGCATTAAAAAGGTTGTACATAAATTTGTAAAAATGCTTTAAATGAAGAACGTTTTAATTTTGATTGTATTTTTGGACCAGTTTTGTCTTTGGCTCTGCTCCTGTCTGCTCCTGTCTGCTCCTGTCTGCTCCTGTCTGCTCCTGTCTGCTCCTGTCTGCTCCTGTCTGCTCCTGTCTGCTCCTCCAGGTTTCACACTCACCACCTTCCTGCACCAAGGAATAAATTGTCTTCAGAATTTAATGTTTTTCACATGTTTGTACATATTAAAGCTGCACTATGTCACATTTCTGTTGGGGGGTCTGCTACCTGCTCCTGTGGAATGTCCTGGAATGTTCCATGAGTTTAGATTTTCCGTTTATTCAGTTGCGAGTGGGTTCGCGCCTCCACAGATCTGACCTGGAACTTCAAATCCAACCTGATCATTTGGGAATTGAGTATTTTTTGGTATCAAAGTAGAAATAGAATAATTTCATGACGGCGCTGGAGATGAACAAGCTCAGTACTGTGGAACATTCCAGGCAAAGCAGACGGCAGACTCCCCCGGAAATGTTCCATAGGGCAGCTTTAATTTTACCTGGACTCAGTGCAGTGGCATTCTGGGTAAGTAAGTGTTTGCTGCTTGTCATAACTGCTGATGTGTCCTTTGGCAAAACACACTTCAGTCACAAAGAAATTTGCGAAGAAAACATTGAAAAATACATTTTAATAATCACAGGAAGTTTTATTTTGTATTTTGGGAGAATTCTGTCCAAAAGTTGGGCACAATTTACACAAGAAATGCATTTTTCTGACATTTTCAAACACAATTTCATCCAAATAAAGGTGTTTTCTTACATTTTTATTTGTCAGATAATCCCTGTGTACATCAGGAGTTTTGACCCAGTGTGCGACACGGTTGCTAGGTAACTGTTATGGAATTTTCATTGTGATGTCACGATTTGCAACCAAGAAGTGAATTTTTAAACCATAAAAATGTCCAAACAGGAAAAAAACATAAAATTTAGTAAATTCTTAAATGGAATGATCTTTGCTGTGTTTTAGTAAAATGAGGAGTCTAACCGTATATTCACTTTAAAGCTGCACTGTGTAACTTTTTGGTTGGTGGTTTGTTTTGTCACCTGCTTGTTTCTATGGATACGTCATTTCTGGCATGTTCCGCAGTGTGACATTAAACAGCTCTACTTTACATTTATACATTTATTCAGTCACAGGTGGTTTTATAGCTCAAAAATACAGAGGAAAAACAGACTGACTGTGAGCGAGGGCGCCTCTCCACAGATCTGACCTAGAACTTGGTCTGCTTTGGTTTCTGTGGAGATCTCGTCCGATCAGATCTCTCCATTCTCTTACAGCTCCCTTTTGTTTGTTTTTTTTGTTTTTTTTATTTAGTCAGTTTTTTTGTCCAAATGCATTATTTATTTAATTTTTTACATTTTTGTCCATATAATATATATATGTTTTTTACAAATACATTTTTATTTAATTAATTTATTTATTTTTTTGCTTTTTTGTCCAAAAGCATTTGTATGATTTTATTTATTTATTTTTTTTACCAATACATTAAAAATGTGGTACATAATTTTGTAAAAATGCTTTAAATGAAGAACTTTTTAATTTCTATTGCATTTTTGGACCAGTTTTGCCTTTAGCTCTGCTCCCGCCCGCTCCCGCCGCTCCCGCCCGCTCCCGCCCGCTCCCGCCCGCTCCGCCCGCTCCCGCCCGCTCCCGCCGCTCCCGCCGCCCGCTCCCGCCCGCTCCCGCCCGCTCCCGTCTGCTCCTGTAACATTCTAGACAAACTGATAATATCTCCATGGACGATCCACCAGAAAAGTGACACAATGCAGCTTTTAAATGGTGTATTCCCGACAGAGTTGTTGGTCTGAATCCCCAGCAGCTTCACTTTACACTGTTGTTGTGTCCATGGGCAAGACACAGGTGGTTTGGTTGGTGATTGTTCCAGGGCGCGGAGGAGGAGTGTGCGTTTGTGTCTGAAGGACAAAACGTGTCTCTGCTCTTAAGTTCACTATTTTCTTTTTTATTTTAAGTTAAATTCTTTTTTTTTTATTTTTTTTTTAATTAAAAGCACATTTCTGGGCGATTCTTAGTGCAGCAGGAGCCGGTTTCTCTTCAGGTAAGTTGTGACGGTGAAGACTGTTACTGGAACATGTTTTTTTTTTTTACCTTTTTTGTACAGTTCGGTGACGTTGATTCAAATAAAAATTACTCTGAAATTGTGGTCATTTCCTTTTTTATGAATCATGTAAATATATAATGCTGCAAATAAAGAGATTTGAAGTTTTGTGGTATTTAACATCTGTAGAGAAACACGGTGGAAAACTAAATAATTGGATCTTTCTTTATTCTCCCGCTGTCATATCTCCGTGCTGCTATCCCTCCACTGTCCACAAGAGGGAGTACTGACCCAATAAACTCCTTTAAACCCGCGACCTACAGAGTCCACACGTTCATATGAACCACAAAACTAAACTGGGACTAAACCGGGACTAAACCAGAACTAAACTGGGTCTAAACCAGAACTAAACCAGGACTAAACCGGGACTAAACCGGGACTAAACCAGTCAACTTTTATCCACCATCTGTGGTTTGTCCTCTTCCTCCTGAAGTCTTCACCAGGTCCTTGGTCTTGTCAATGTTCTGGAGCAGATGGTTTTCCTGGGATCACTCCACAAAGTTTATAATCAGTGTCGTGTCCTTCAGCTCCGGAGCATCTCTGATTCACCCAAACACGACAGAGACATCAGAGAAGAACCACTGCTCCAGCAGCAGCCTCCACTGCAGGTCTCCCCGTGTCTTGGTGAGAGGGGCTTGTACACGAAGCCCCAGGCTGGACTGAGGGTGGGGCCCAGGCCCAGGATCAGGCCCAGGTCCCAGGCCCAGGATCAGGCCCAGGCCCAGGATCAGGCCCAGGCCCAGGCCCAGGATCAGGCCCAGGCCCAGGATCAGGCCCAGGCAGGCCCAGGCCCAGGGCCCAGGCCCAGGATCAGGCCCAGGCCCAGGCCCAGGCCCAGGTCAGGCCCAGGCCCAGGCCCAGGATCAGGCCCAGGATCAGGCCCAGGATCAGGATCAGGCCCAGGCCCAGGATCAGGCCCAGGCCCAGGCCCAGGATCAGGCGAGCTCTCCACAGTGTCCGGGTAAGCACATAATCTGTGATGGTTCAGGGCTTGGACCATCATTCTGTAAAAAGTCTTTCCTGAAGCTGCTTCCAGGGAGGCAGACACAGGGCAGGACAGCAGGGGGCCAGAGGAATCTGTGAGGTCAGAACTCAGGATGAAGTCAGGAAAGCCGCTCCAGGGTCCGAACAGACTTCAGGCTCAGGTGAGAGGCCAGAGTCTCTGTGTTGTTCAAATCAGGTCCAGTCCTGTCCAGACGCTCAGGGGCAGGCGGCCGCTCCTCAGACTGTCCCCTCTGACCTCCAGCAGATCCTCTCCCAGTATGTGTGTCCAGACTTGTTTGTCAAAGTCTGATCCTGTCAGATCTCTGAAGCTCAGCAGGTCCGGGTCTGGACTTGGATAGAGACACTGGAAAAATCAAGAGCCACAGGAGGCGCCAGCCATAAAAAACTGTTGTTGTGTCCTTAGGCAAGACACTTCACCCTCATTGCCTAGTATGAAACTGGTGAGTGAGTGAGTGATGGTGGTCAGAGGGGGCAATGACGCCAATTGGCAGCCTCACTTCTGTCAGTCTGCCCCAGGGCAGCTGTGGCTACAATAGTAGTTTACACCACTGAGTCTGGAGTGAATGAACAATCCTCTGGAAAGTGTCTCTGAGTGTCTAAAAAAGCCTTTATATAAAACTGATGCATTATTAATGTTATTTGTAGGTTCCAAAAGGCCAAATAAAAATCCACTGACAGACGTCTGTTTGTTTTCAGCAGCGGTCGACTCAGCAGCAACGAGCCTCCAGCTTCTGACTCTGACTCTGACTCTGACCTGAGGCAGACATTAAGTGGACCTGAGGCTGACCTGAGGCAGACCTGACCTGAGGCAGACCGTCCTCAAACCGCCGCCTCACTTCAGCGCCGACGCAGCTCAGATGAAAACAGGTTTTTGTAAAAAA